TGCTTGTTACATTCACTTACACACAAATACTCTTGTGAAAAGCATAAATCCATCTCTCTGTCCCCAACTATGAGTTAAACAGCAAAGCAGACTGTGTTATTCAGTCTTGGTTGACAACCATTCTAGAAGAAGAACTTTGAATTCAAAAACTGTATGTAGACCTGGTTAAACACATACTATATACAGCTAATGAAATCATCATAGATTTCAGAATGGCTCAGATCTTAACTGTTGTCAGCCTCGGTAATCTATATGAAGTTTATGAAGACTTACCATTTTTTTTCTGGTTTGATCAATGGAAGGGATTAACACAGAGGGTTTTTGTATAATTCTAGAATCAAGTATTTTGAATATTTTCCCCAGTTTTTAATAGATTTCAGGATTATATGAAAATTAATTTTCATGCAGTTTATCAAAGGATAGTGAAAGTTTATAAAAAAAAAATCAACAATATCTAATAAAGTACCTGCAAAAAAAAATGGTATTTTGGAAGGGCAGTTTTTCACTTGATATTTATTACTGTATACCCTCTCGGTAATTTTTATTATTTTAAAAAGCTAGTTTTAGAATTTTAATAAAAGGAAGAGAAAAGAGACTACTAACTGGATGATAATTGTTGAAATTTGCAGGACAGTGAATTGAAAAGATGAGAAGAAAATTAATAATGAAATGCATTGAAAAATAATAAAATGAAATCCTGAATAGTTCCAAGGAGAATCGAACCCAAATTTAACTACATGGAATTCATTAAGATTAAGCAAAACCATAACTAACCATCCTCCTCCATTTCCCACTGATAAGAAACAGACAATGTATCATTGAAGATGTCAGTCCTGGAAAAAAAAATACATAGATTCTTGATAAAGAAAATGGGTGGTCACAAAAATAACAACTAAAATTGTGTTAGACAAAGAACTAAGAAAAATATCTGGTTTGAATCAGCCACCCAGAAGAAAAATATCCCTACAAAAATAGAGATTAGCACTTAAGATTGGGGATGGTTCGTTCATTTTAATTTTTGTGACATTCATCAAAATTTTTATGGCTGACATTATTTTGGATACAAGTGATAAAGAAAAATTGATTACTAACACTGGAGTGACAAGAGGCAACCAGCTGTGTGTCGTGGTCGATCAAGAAATCACCTAAAACAACCAGTGTGAGACAAGCTGATAAAAAAAAGATTAATAACTGGAAATCCTCTTTTTGCCTATGTATTTAAAAGTTTAGATTTGTCACAAAGACAGTTGTACCAGCCCTTGAAGTGGGCTGATGAGAGAGAGAGATTAGCACTGCCTATATGGAGCAATGCTGCAAGATGAAACATGAAAAGAATTAGGGGGTGGCTTGATTCCACTCTCAAAAGGGGGCTGGACAACCCCTAAATTTGGAAAATTACTTGAATAAACATATTTTGAAAATATGGGATTTTAGAAAAAGGTTGATGCTAAGTGTGAAAGATAACTGAACCCCAGACCCTGGTCAATGCCACAACTCTCAGACTCCATTTAAGCTGGGGGTTTGGACAATTTGAAGAGACCCCACATTACTGCTACTGCAATCCACATCGTTCGCCAAGACCTCCTGACCAAGACCTTGAGTCAGCCTTGAAGATCAGAACTTAGAAATTTAAATTACTACTAACACAGGCTGTAAACTTCAAAAGGGGATCTCAGTGTCATTTGATTATAACAGTGAGAAGGGTTAAAACCACTGTATACAACAAATCATATATAAACTAAATCATTGTTACATTTTTAACCAGAAATTCAAAAGAATTATGTAGCTTCCAGCTGTTGACCTGTTCTTCAATTCAGTTTACTTCATCAGTGATCTCACCTTCTGAGATCAAAAACACAATGTGGCAGAAGAGTGAATGGTTGTGAAAAGACAAATGACAGCTAAGTCAAGCAGAACCATGCTCATTAGCATATCAGTGACAAACCAGCAATGCATTAATAAGTGAGGAGTCAGCTAGATGGTAACCATGGTGGTCTGAAGGAAGCTGAAGACCAATGTGGTAGAAAAGGATTGTTTATTTATAAGAATAGTTTTATATTTACAAGATTATAAAAATAAGTGAACAAACTACAATGTGATATTTATTACTTATCATATTATAAAGAAATAACTATGAAAACAAATATTTATTCATAAATTTTAAAAAATTTGTGTGAAATAAACAAGGAAAATTATCGAGGGAGTATACAGTAATAGTGGTGCTAAAAGAAATATGTCCTTTTTTTACACACCATTTTTTTGCAGGTACATTTGTTAACCTTTGCCATGAAATCTTTTTAAGTGCTGTAGCAAAAAGGAATGCATTCAAAGAAAGAAGTAGATAACTGTTCTTTATACTTTGTTCTTTTTAGTCTTTTTTGTTTATCTAAGAAAAAGCGAAATTCAACATTGAGACAATTTCAGTTTCTTAGTGTTATTAAGTACTTTTTTTTTAACTAAAGTTTAAAATTAGTTTTTAATATTTCATTTATTACAGACTGAAAGAAAAAATTGATAGATATTCCAGGTTTCAGTATGTGATTATTTCTATAAAGGATCAAATAGGTCCTTAATTTTTAGTGGTTCAAAGTTTTCCTTTTTGTTAAAGTTGAAGACACTAAGACACAAGGGGTTACTAAGTGTGAAGGCATGAAGATAAAAGAGAAACTTAGTTAAGGAGTGGGAACAATAGAAAAGTAATCAAGAAGACAGTAGATAACAATTGATATTGCTTTTAAATTTTATAAGATCAAAATTGGCTGGAAAGCATGAACCCAGAAGATAGTTCCACAAGTGAATGGTACAAGAAAAAAACTGTTAGCATAGAACTTATGGCTACATGTAGCCATTTCAAATGTAAATTAATGAGACCTTGTCAATCTAGTACTGTGCTTAAATTTGTAAAGTCTAGGTACCATAGAGCAAAAGTTCCTCAGAACAATTACTATGAAAGTATTTGTAGAAAAGGCACAGGGAAGCTACATTATGCCGGTGGGAAAGTGACTGAAATCAAGATGCCAAGTCAGGACTAATAATATTGCTGATTCTTTTTTGGATTTTATCAAGAATCTATATCAAAGCATAGGCAGATGGTAGACTTATAAATATGTAAGATAGATCCTGCAGAGAAAAACTTTCTTTGCAGCTGACCTAGCGATGGATTGAATATAAACTTTCAACTTCATATCAGCTGGAACTGTTAGCCGGAGAAGACACATTCTCCTGTAGTATCAGCCATGTTGATGGGAGGCAAAAATGGGTTTTGTTTTAAAATTACTTGAAGACAGTATTTTACATAACTGGATACACAACCAACCATTCTTGACAGACTGTAAGACTTATTTCACAAAATAACTGTTTATATCAATCTTGCGCGTTTATAAATCTATCATTTGTCCATGCATTGAATATTGCTACCATATCTGGTTTGGTGCTCTGGTCATATATCTCAAGATTCTGGACAAATTTCAAAGAAAAGTCTGTAATGTTATCGATCATGACCTGGCATCTTGACTTCATTCACTTTCTCACCACTGTGTTGTGGCTTCTCTTTGTCTTTTCTATAAATATTTTCATAGCAGTTGTTTTCATGAGCTCTCCTCCTTGGTAACTTGACTGCATGAATTTTAGTCTACTACTAGATTGGTTACTAGGTTTCATTATTTTACTCTTGAAATTACTAGTAACCATAAGTTCTAGTCTAATATTTTTTCTCACATCTGTAACTCTCTTCCGGTATCTTGCTTCTTGGCCACCTAGAATCTTCAAAAATTTAAAAACACCCATCACCATCTTCTGTCTTCCTGAATACTATTCTTTTATAGTCCTTTCTTCTCATTCTCTTCCACTTCAAGTAGCTATTTGTTTCTTAGTGACATTAACATCTTGTGAAATGATTTATATATATGTAATAAATAAATCCTAATGAGCCAGTTACTACCTACCTAAGTTTTACCACATGGGATCATCAGGGTGAACTGGTTGATGATCCCATGTGGTGAAACCTAGGTAGGTAGTACCTGACTCATTAGGACTTATTTATTTTACCTTTCCTCTACTTAGTGTATTGAGCACTCTTTGTTTTAACTTATTACTCACTGGTTTTTTTTTTTTTATTTGTACCAGAAATTTAAGGTACTGGGCAATTTCTTTCACCCTTAAGGACACATGGCACAGTGGTTAAAGGCATTAATGAGATCCAGTGACAGGACCAAAAGTGTTGTGAGTTCAATACCTGGTTAAGGCAGTGGAGAACTTGGAGAGGTGAATTAACAGGAAATAACTGACATCCATTAGACATAGCACGTGGAACTAGAACAGTCTACCCAGCAAGTGAAATAGAGGGTTCAGTTTGACATTCCAACCACCTGAAGAAGGCCGTTGTGTACCACAGCCAAAATGTTGTAATACATGTGGCAACAAAGATGATGATGATAGTCTGAATAATGTAAATAGTGTACATAATACCTCACCTCAGAAATATAGACAGATTCTTTAATTCTGTTTGGAGGTTTCTGGTTTTTTTTTTTTTGTTTTTTTCAAAATCTTTTCCTCAGATGCCAATTTGTTTGAAAATTGTGCTATCCAGGTTTTTTCACTCACCGAGTTTAAATAGATTTACCATATATATATATATATATATATATATATATATATGAATGAAAGCAATTAAAATTACACAGAGGTGTAGTCATACTTTCAATCTTGTACTGAAAATGAAAAAGTGATTTTTGTTAGGCTGAAACAAAATTGATATTGTAATGAAATCAGAAAGAAACAATAAACACAAGACAAAAGAACAACAATAAAAGAGATATCAGTGTATTTTAACAAGTTTAATTATCAAAACCTCACAAGGCACTTGACAGGGCTTATCTCAGTTACCATAGACCACAAGCAAACAAAATGTCTTGTGTATAAAGACCTCTGCATTTTTTTATTTTTTTGCACAGATCTTCATAACAAGTCACGTACCAGCTGACAATTCACCCCTTTATACCCTATGTGTATTTACAGCAAGGCAACGTCTCAATATACAGCTTTAGGTAACTAGTAGTAAAATGAAAAAAGAAACAGATACTATCAAACAAATTTCTAGATAGAAGTTTGAAATGAAAACAAAAAAAAAGGAGAAAAGAAGAAGGGATTAAAAACAGAAAGAAAGAAAAAAAAAAGAGCATAGAGTAACCGAAATCACAGCAGGGTCTAATATTTTGGTAGAGTTTTGTTTTGAAAGCAGCCTTTAATTCTTTGGCAGTTATTGTGTAAAATGCAGCAGGAGCATCCTGACAAAGACAGTAGCAGTTCTTCCTGAAGTATTAGTGGAGAAAAATATGTAGAAGCGCCTACCATTTTTACCTACCACTGCCTCTGTTGTCATTAGAACCTTTGAAAATGGTGAGATGTTTGCATAACAATCTGGTAACCTATCATCAGAACAGTGCAAGGAATGCAAACTGTTTGGCAGCAGAAGAGGGCAGCAATAAATGCTGCAGTGACTGACACTTTTTGGTCATTTTTCCAGGGTTCAGAAAAAAGACATTTAAAAAATTATACATTTATATAATTTACTCTTACATCTGGAAATTTTACTATGGGTGAGGAAGAGTGGAATAAGAAAAAGTACCAGAGATGCTCACAAATAGATCTTAGATCTAAAACAACACAAAAAAAAGAAGATTTTAGACTTGCCCCTAGTGCATTTCTTGGAGTATAGCATTACTTTTTAAATGTACAGTGATTCATAAAATACACAGAATTCAAATGCAATGTATTCCAGTAAACTGATTGACCAACAGTCATTGTTTATTAGATGTTTTTAGAATTTTGTTTTAATAAAGAAATGAATAAAAACTGCTTTACAGCTTACCAATATGAATTTGAGAAAATTGATTCTGAAAAGAAAAAAAAAAGAGAAAAGAGATTTAAAACTGACATGTATTTTGAGTCCAATACTTTGCTGAATTGAAATGTTAGGATTCTAAGTATTTAAACCCAATTTTGCATAAGACACCATCAGTATCCGTTTTGCCATGAAAATGGTCCCATAAAAGCAAAAGGAAACATAAAATTATCTATTCACTCAATTTCCATCACCCAGAGTCAGGAATGTCCAGTTGAACCCCACAGTGAAATTAAAAATAATGATAAAAAATAATAAATATTAAAATACTAATTCCATCTTAAATTACAAAATTCAAAGCAAGGAGATTTGAAAAAAAAAAAAAAAAGAAAAAAAAAAAAAGAAAAAAAAAAAAAAAAAAAAGCTAATTGAAAGCTGAATATTTCTTTGTTTACTCACGTTTGTGAGTCAGTGAACAAAGATGACTCAAATTTATTATAATGGGCCAAATGATATTGTGCTGTTGTATTGAGCAGGTTGGTTAATCTGTGGACTTCTTATAAGACACTTTTAAACACTTTACCCTGAATTATTTAATTAGTGAATTGAAAAAAAAACCCACAGAATATTCCTTTCTTTGGGCGGGATAATTATAGATTTGGAACATTTTTTTGTTTTTGTTTTTTAATTACTAACAAAGCATTCCAGTCATAATGTGGGTATTAAGTTATTACTTTAAAAGTGTTTGTTCGAGTGTTGTTCATTTCTACACATATATGTGTTTATGAAAATATGAAAGGGTTTAATTATTTACACTCAATAACTAAAGACAATAATCATAAAAATAGCTAAGAATCTGGTAATAGTTTAATTAAGTATTTTTTCCATGCTTGTTTCAACTTAAAAAATTTGAATAAGAGGTACTAGAGATGTTTCACAAGAACTGTAAAATTATATCTCAAAATCTTTGAAGAAAAAAAAAAAAAAAATGAGCCCATTGATAAATGTCATCCTTGTAACTGCAAATTAGCCAACAGTTTGATGAATATTAATAAATGAATTAAAAACAATAGACATTATGATAGTTATGTAGCAGCTAACAGAAAATAACCTTAATAACAACAATACAAAAACTCAATAGACACTCCTTCCCTTCTGTTAAAAAATCTGCAACAGGTATTTTCTATATGAATAAATTAGGTTATGCCTAACTTATTTAAAAACAAAACATACAGCAATGAGATCAGGTGTGTCAGTGGACAAATAAAACAGCAAGAACATTATATATGCGTGTAAGCTTATATATCTGCATGAAAACATGTTTTTTATAATTTCAGAGATCAATATATCGAGAGGAGAGTGAGCCAAGTTAAAATATTTAAAGAAAAAGCTTCCGTGTTCATTTTTCGGCTCAGATAATTATAGAAGTCTTTGAAATACAAGAAATAAAATAATTACTACTGGAATTGCTATAAGCAGGTATAAAAGAGAAAGAAAGGAAAAAAAGGGCAAAATTTGATGTCTACATATTCGTTCTTTTTTGGATCAGATTTCAAATTACCTTTTCCTTCAATAAAAAATTGGGATGGTAATTTAATATTAACTGTCTTAGTATTGTGGTGAATTTTCTTTGCATTGTAGTGCTGCAAACTTTTTACTCTTTATAGTGAGAGGTTTCTAAAAAACCTGAACACTCTTTAAAATCAGTTCTTTTCTTTTTTTTTCTCTCAAGAAAAAGAAAATGAAGAAACAGTTTCAAGATGTGGGATGGATTATTATCATCAAAATGGAAGAAGAATAAGATGCACTGGCCGATCCTCTCTACCCGCAAATCATAACAGAAATCAAAGTCATTTATTTTAAATTGGTTTCATTGAAGGATTAACAATATTGTAAGCAAGTAAGTGTGTGTGTGTGTGTGTGTGTGTGTGTGTGAGAGTGAGTGTCCAATGAATGCCTTCAAATAGCAGATATAATAAGCAAACAGCTCAGCTGGCAGCAATAAAGCAGCTGTACATTAGATTAGTTGCACATACTGTATGTATTAAATATCTGTATGTATGTGTGTGTGTGTGAACAAGATGAATGCTCTTGAAATTAACAGATTCTTTATTAATTATTATAATTTATTAATTTTAATAAAAGTTTGCTTGTGAAACTTTTCATATACTTATAGCCCCAAAACTCAAATATCTTAATGTCTTACCATTGATCCACTAATATCATTGGATTTAGAATTATCACAAGATTTTACAGAAAGGAAGGGAAGGAGGAAAGAGATAGAAAGAGTGAGAGAAAGAGAGACAGAGATAAAGAGAAGAAGAAGATCAAAGAAAATAAAAAATAAAACCAATGGGAAGTAACTCTTGATGCTCTCTAAAAATAGCTAAAAGATTTTATGGCAAGTGACATTTATGTGTGCAGCCCAGAATAAGATTAGTTGTTGCCAGGGTATAGAATTGGTTATATCATGGCTGCTAAAGAAGAGAAACAAAATGGTTCTCTTTAGGGTATCTCCCAAATATGAGGAGATGCTGTTGGTGTTATAGATTGGCTGGCTGTCAGAATAAATCTTCCCCCTATAAAAATAGAGTGTTATCCTGCTGAGGGTTATTATTACAAGGACAATCTTTCAGCCATCATATTTATCTTTATATAATATTTACTGGATGTACCAAATATTGGATACAGCATAATATATTTCAGCTGAGTCATGAAGAAGGGGACTAAGCAGTTTTAGTCAAGCAACTAAGGTAGAAAATTTGTTTTCTTAAAAGATTTCCCAACCAGAACAACATTTTTGCCCATGTAGATGTATCAACCAAAAGTGGTTGTACTAGTTCCAAATGGTCAACATAAACCTGGCTATTGTGCTTCATCAAAAGACTGTTTGTTTACTTACCCTGATATTCAATTACTGACTGATAGGCGGTTCCCTCTGATTATCAGAAACCCAAAATAATGTCTTCATCGCCGCCTGCCCCCAATTTCTGGTCGTTTTATTGTTCCCTTCTTTTTCACCATATTCCCATAGTGATTATTTTAATAAAAAAATTAAACAAAATTCAGAAAAACAAAATCAGTGAGTAAGTAATATTAAAAAAAATACTGGAATGTGTATTGCAACAGGATTATTAAAAAAAAAGCAAAAAAAAAAAAAAAAAAAAAAAATCTGCTACCAAATTTGTAAACCTCAATTTTTCATTTTTTTTCTGTAAATTTACTTCAGTTCAGATTTTTTAAAACATTGTATTGTTTCTTTTTTATGTCTATTTTTTTTTTAGTATTTTTTTGTGTGCATGTCTTTTTTTCCAATTTATATCAACAAAAAATAAATCCATTATCTTTTTTATAACTTGTCTGTCTGTAAGTGTGTGAGCTTCAGCAGAGGTGAAGAGACCAACTTAGAAGGCTGCAGCCACAATATGTACAAATCGTCCCAGTTAACTCTGATAAAAATTATCACAGATTATGGATTTGTTTTCATCAGCAACCAGAAGAAAAATATGATGATGATGATGATGATAATGATGATGAAGAAGTGATGGCTATGGAACATGTTGCATAGACGTCTTCTCTTCATTTTTCTTTGCATGTCTTCAACATGATAAACAAATGTTAAATTGAATTTAACACTTATTTTTGTTGTTGTCTTCACACTCAGCAACTGCCAGAAATCACAGATGTTCTCTATTTGTGTCTGATGTGGTCTTCCTCTTCCAGTGCCAAATTTGTCTGTCAGTGCCAGTACAGGGTTTCATAAGTAATGTTTTACCATCTATAGCAACTTCCATACATTTTTGTGTATTCACATGGAGAACTGTTCGGTCCTACAAACATAGAAAATGAAAATTGGAATATTTTATAGAAAGAAAAATTACAAGGGGCATTCTTGAAGTTTTGAGACGTTTTAGGAGGCAGTTATAACTGTCCTAAATTATTGTGACTTTAGTATATCATTACAATACATGTAATAAGCTGGTCTGCTAACTTTTGTTATTCCAGATTAAAGGAGATGGCTGTAACAGCTCTTTGAACACATCCTACAAAACATTGCTTGTCCCAGCTGACTCGTTTGCAGAATGCAGTCAGGATGTGAAGACAATTTGGATGCACACTATGCGATAATAAAGTTTTTTGTTGATAGAGATGAGTATTAAAACTGTCACCCTCCCTACAGTCCAGATTTTGCTCCCAGTGACTTTGGTCGTTCTTTAAGCTGAAAGAAAACCAGTCATTTTGAAGACACTGAGAAGATGAAGAAAGCTGTGACAAGGATCCTGGATAACTTCACCTTTTATAACTTCCATGTAGTCATCACGAAGTGGCTGGAGCATTAAAACAAATGCATCGAAATCAGAGAATTCTTCTCTGAAGAAGATTAGTATTTTGTATTTCTTTGAAATTAATAAATGTCTTTCCTAAAAAGTCTCAAAACTTCTGGAACACAACATTCTTTGCTTTAATTTCAAGTTCCTGAAATAAACTATCTTCATCTTGAAAATTTTACATCAGTAAATCTTGCTTATTGTTTCAAAAGTTTTGATCATGCCTTGTTTTGTACATATCTATTTATTCTGTGGACTTCACAATATGTGATGTTTACATTCTACATTACCTGTAGATACGATCATCCAGATATACTAGTAGCCATGAATATGGATCATTCAGGTTTACTAGTAGCCAATAAAATTGTTCATCCAGATATACTAGTAGCCATTAAAATGGATCACCCAGGTATATTAGTAGCCACTAAAATAGATCATCAATTTATACCAGCCATTAAAAAGGACTATAAAGTTATACTTGTAGCAATGATATACTGGTAGACATTAAAATGAATCATCCAGTTATATGAGTTTTCATTAAAAAGGACTATTCAGTTATACTGGTGGATTTTAAAACTGATCATATGCTTATACTAAGTCATTTAAAAAAAAATATTATCCTGTTATAATAGTAGCCATAAAAAGGGCCATGCTAGAAGTCATTAAAAACTCCAAGAAGTCATATTTCTGCAAGTATCAAATTCTCCCAACTTGTATGAACATACTTAGGTTATTTTGTTTTCAAATCTTTGGATACAGTTTCCTCTGGACTAATTTCATCATATCTTCATTTTTTGGTTTTTCACACATTTCTGGCTCTGAAACCTTTAGTTTAACTTGGATGTTTATAGTGTCTTAAAACCTAAAAACTGGTTGGAGGGTACATGATCAAAATATTGTGTGAAAAATAAACCACAGGAGAAAAATAACCACCATAAAAACTATATACAGTTATGTATGTAGTTTTAGGGGGGGGGTTAATGTTCATACAATGATTAAAATACCAAATCTAGAATTCTATTAAACTGTGTATACATGTGAATTAATAAAACCATTTAAATGTTTATTTAATGTTATTTTCAATACTTCAACTTTGTCTTAATATAAAAGTATAGATGAATCAACATATTTAAAGTTTGTTTTCCAATTGGAAGTATATTTAAGTATTTGATATGATGTTATTTGATATCATGTATATGTAAGCATTTGATATGTTATTTGAATAATATAATATTATTTTATGTTATTTGATATCAAATATATGTAAGTATTTGATATCATGTTACTTGATAAAAGAAAGCCAATCAAAAATTAGATAGAAAAATATGAAAAATGAAAGTAATAATCCAAATTTAACAAATAAATGCTACAACTTCAAATAAATTCAGAATCTATCATTATTTGTTATAAATGATAGAGATTAGGAAAACAATTCAGAATCACTTTATTTAATACCATGAGTTGCAATTTTATTTATATTAGTTTACAGAATTTTTAATGATAATATTTCAGTTTTTATCAAGCAAATAATTTGGAAAATGCATAAACCTGGTAAAGACTGATAAAATGCAAATCAGGATATGAAAAGAATTAATTCCAGTTCAGAGCTGACATTACTTTCTTACCATTCATGATGAATGGTTACACTCTCAAAAAAGGCACCTTGCATTGATCTACTATTGGGGCTCTAGTTCATCCCAGACTTTTTGGAAGTCATATATATGATCCATCACCAAAGACATTGTAAAAATGGTCAGGACAACATCAGAAGGTTCCTGACTGTACTTACCATCTTTTATCTTAACAATAGTCAGATCAGACAAAAAAAATAGAGCATTGCTGCCATATCTGGTCCGGAGTTGCCCAATCCTCTCTTTCCAGCCTCAATAGAGTTCAAAAATCATTTACGTGATAAATTATTTTTCAACCTGCAATCTCTTTCCCACAGATGCATTGTTACAAGTATATCGCTACTCTACTGTTATTTCCATGGAAAATGTTTTGACACGCTATATTCCCAAGTTTCATTATTTCAGACCAACACAGCTAAGACTTGCACTGGCATATACACAGGGGCAAGCTATCCCCATACTTTTTGTATTGCACTCGTAAGATTTAAATAATATTTGGACAACTTTTTCACAAGATTGGTTTGGTTTATTTTGTTTTACGGCATATCAACCTCAATGGGCTGTTTAATGCCGACAACATTTTTAGGATAGATTTGTATGAATAGAATATGTATTCTTTGGTTTAGATTGGTTTGGTTTATTTTGTTTTACGGCATATCAAACTGAATGGGTTATTTAATGCCGACAACATTTTTTATTGCTGGTAATTTGTTTTGTCAAAAATCTGTTTCTGGTAATATTTTTTCTTCAAAATTGTATTGCTGGTAATAGTTAACTATTTGCCCATAGCAGGGACCCTAACACGTGCTATCACCCTGGGTCAGGGTGGACCTGGGAACACCAGCAATTAAGAGATGGTTCCACACTCCTCAAAACCTCCTGATCAGAGGCCTTGCTGCTGGATGAAGTTTATCGTCTTACCCAGGACGACTTTTTTACAAGAGCTGCTGCTTTGTGGAACATACTACCAAGGGGATGCTTCCATGATAACTATAATCTTAACCTTTCCAAGTCAAGGTCAATCATTATATATTCTATATATCCTTATAATCTACAATTTTTACATCCATAAAACCCCATTCAGTAACCCTCTACTTTGAGTGACTCTTGAGTCTTGTGTTGAGTGAACAATAGCATAAAAAAAATTAAATGAAATTTACAATATGGACTAATTACTGTGCAATCCAATGACATTTTTGCATAATCAGACTAAAACTAAGGAATGTAATAAAAAAACAAATACTTTGAGTACTGTACCTCTCTGTATTGCCATTCCTGATTGCCGTGCTGACCATGACAAGGATATATGATGACATTGTCTCCACCTGAGTAATCTAAGCAGCCGTCATCTCGCCGAATCTCATTGTTCTTGCTCAGCATCCAGTACTGAATGAAAAAAACAAATACAGAATGTGTACAAGGCTTGAAAAGACAAAGAGAAAGCAACTGGAAAAGTACAAAAGAAATTTATAGTCTTTTACACAAAAGATTTTACAAAATGGAAAGCTGACATGATGGACTATTTTGATTTGATTCAATGTTTAGGCTGTTTAAAGTGAAAAGAAACTTAGTTATCAAGAATTTTTGAATGAACCTTAATTGCTTCTTCTGTTAATACAAAAAATGAAAAACACATTATCTTGTAAGTGGATTAATTCAAGATAAAGAGGGATTAATTAAAAATAAATTCTGTGTCAGTTATAATTAAATAATTAAAAAGGAACATTTTATAAATGGGAACTATGAATAATCATAAATTTCAAGAAGAAGGGTGTTGTTATTTTATGGAATAAAGATGGCAGATAATTTGAATATTACTCTTCTATTGTTCTTGCTCCTTAATAATGTTTCTCTTTTTTCTTATTCTTTCACATTCAATAACCCTTTATGTCTTAGGGGATCTACTGCTTTGCATGGGGTGACATGATTGAAAAAAAAAAAATTTAAATAAACAGATTTTCTTTTTTTTTTGATTCTTATATTTTCATTACTTTATTTTTGTGAAAAAGGAATAACAACACTGATAGTAGTCACTTTGTAAATGTACCTGATTTCCTCCTTGATTATGGCATGGCCACATTATAACAGGTTTGTGCATGTTTTGGTGATCTACAGAAGCATCAACACACATTCGCTTTGCTTTGTTACGAATCTGTAGGAGCAAAATTAAAACAATTGAAATACATTAAAAAAATCTATTTTAATAATTAATTTTTCTATAATAAGAATGTACAAATAATTTGTTTTAAATCTGGGAATTTCTGTAAAAAAGGACATTACTATTTCAGAAAGCAATATAATATACAATTAAATTATCTTTATACAATTTCACACTCTTTAATAAAAAGAATGCAAAATTTCCTTCCACTGAGATTTAAGCAGATTGTGAAATCAAATGTTACAACTTGTTTTAATTATGTTGACAAAAAATGCAATTATTTCTCAATGATATCCTCTTTTTTAAATTGCAATTCGTTAAGGAAAGAAAATTACCAGTTTGCAAAGAATATTTTCTGCATAAAAATCAATTATAAATGGAATAACAATCATATTTCCTTTCAAAATTAAAACAGTTCATAATGAGAAAATTGCTTTTGATATTGCTTCTAATGAGTGAAATTCTTCTGGATGGAATGATTAAATTAGTAATTGTGTTCTAGCAAGATTGCTCTTCCTCCTCCTCCTCCTTAGTGTTATTAGAACTATTAGGAATAGGACCACAATCTCATCAAGCCAGGTGTTACTGCTGTGGTTTCTGTAGAAAATAGGTTTTAACAGGGTGAAGGTGTCAGCCACACATCCAAATTGTTTTGTATTCAGAGTTGTCCTTCTTCAAGACTGGTTACCAACCAAGGCTACAGAGTTTAAACTGCCCTGCTATTTAACCCAGAGAAGAGATAATTTGTGCAAAAGTGAAACTGGCTGGAATTGTAGTTGCCAAGTCAATTCCATTTATTGCATTGAAAACTGTTCCAATATATTGTTTAAGACTTTTGTTGCCAAATGGAAACTCTCTTTCTCATTGCCCACCTCATACTTGGAGGTTTTTAAGGAGGATGAACTTCATCTCTACTTCCAGTGAATAAAGCCTGTAGGTTTTTAGCAAGGACCATCCTTCTTTGAACTTCATGGACTAATGCTACAGAATCACAAACAAAGAACAGTACCAAATAACAGAAACCACATCACTTGAGGACTTTCAACAGAAGCAAAAACTAAAATGGATAGCAATGTAACTTGAAGTGAAAATAATGGCATAATGAAGGTGTTGATGTTCCATGCTAATTCAGACAAAAGCTTAAGAAAGAAACCTCTCCATCAATGCTGACTGGAAAGAGCAATAACAGTAACTGGACATGAGACACCTATTTTCCTGAAAAATTGTTTTAAGAGAAAGATTTTATGAATTTCAAAGAACAGTAACACTGCATGGTCAATGAATGTCAAACATTTCCACATAAGGAGACTGTTAATATTACCATTACTTCGTACTCATCACATGAAAATGTTTTAGGAATAGCTATAACAAAGAGGAAAGTTTTTCAAGTGATGTATTTTGTCCTTTGGGACTTCATTGAGATAAAATGATGTTTATGTTGATGTGATTACACATGCACATGAAGGATGCTGAAATTTTAAATTGTTGTAGCATACCTATGGACGATAATGGGTATGCCCCCATTCCCATAAATACAGTAGTGAATACTGTATGTGGGGTCTGCGGTCTGTAGTTGGAAATTCATTGTGGAATTCACTCGACTCACTTCTAGCAGTTGACTTCTACGCTCCACTGGCAAATCTTATATGTGTTGTTGTTGCCCTAAGTATTATCGTTCATTACCAACCTTTGTGTGATTATTCTATTCAGTAACCTTCCCTAGGTTATAACATAAATTTAAATTTTTTGTGTCTCTTCTCATTCATGTTCATATGTAATCACATCAATGGAAACATCACTTTAGTCTGATGAAGTCTTAAAGGACAAAACATGTCACATGAAAAGTTTTTTCCACTTTGTCATAGATTTTACTAAAACTGTTCTTGATATAGAAAAAAATTATGTATTATTTTCCAATGAAAATATTTATGGTAAGATAAATATTTAACATGAATACATTAACCAGTTTGAGTGTTAGAATCCTATTAGAAGAAAATTATTTTGCATATACTTCTAAGATACATATGAAGAGAGCAAAATAAGACTGTTTGAAGAATTTTCACTTGAATTTGCATCCAATAACTGATTTCCTTTTATCATCTGAAGAAAAGTGATTTGTTAGGGGAAATGTTTGGAGAATATACAAACTATCAAAGGAATTAGATGCAAAAATATTCTAATAAAGCATTTGGTATCACAGCAGGTAAAAAACTGATTCAACTTGACCCTCACCTCACCAGATGCTACAGCTTCTCCTGGGATGAACAAGTCAGGATAAACATTTTTCACATACCAATCAAATGAATGACATTTCAACCGCTTCCGTAAATTTTTTCGGTCACTAATATCTCCAAAATCTCCCTAAAAAAACAAAAAAAAAGAAGAGGAAAACATATCATGACACATTATTCACTTACAGAAGACAATATCAGTTGGTTGTAGAAATGGTTATATGAACTCAGGCATGTCATAAAAGTGTATATTCTTGTTAACATAATTAAAATGTATCTGAATACTTTCATATTTATGTAACCTAAAACTGCTAGAATATCTTCAACATGCATAAAAGAGATGCAGACTTTTATAAAAAAAAAAAACAAAAACAAAAAAAACATGGCTTCTGAAACCTAACAGTAATATGCAGAGAAATAAGTAAGTTAAAGCCTTCAAGGTAGAATGCTAATATGTATCAAGATCAGTTTAAAGAAATGTAATGGTTGTTCTATATTTTACATAGAAAAAGAAGTGTTTTAATTGAAAAGAAGAAAGACAAAAAGAGTTATAAAAGGACATTTTCTTACAGGATAAAGATTTAATGTATTGTGAATGCATTTACATTCATATTTTACATTTTATTTCCAGCTATTAATTGTTGTTAATCATTGCTGTTATAAGTGTGTATATGGTAAAATGAGAGAACAAACGAAAGAACATGTACAACCAGTGAGGCGAAAGCACAAGAATTGTTTATATAAAATTTTTTGTATTGCTGATACAGATGTTGTGAGTGGAATGTCTCTTTGTGGGCAAGGGAAATGACTTGGAGGAAGGGTAGAATTGGTAAGGCCTGTAGTTGATGCTTGTGTTTGATTGGTTGACAGCTTACTGTTTGCCATGACTCTTCTTTGTTGGCATTGTTCTTAAAAGAAGTGGTGGATCATGAGCCATCATTTTTGTTTTGTATGTCTTTGGGTTAGTGGCAATGTTTCTGATTGACCCCTTTTAAATTGTATTTTATATTTTTGTTAAGGGGATCTGTTTTGTGAGCTGGACGTGATGCTCAGAATCCCTGCACAGAGGATGACTTTTTTTTACTTTTGTTTTCTTAGTGTTCACATCTGGCTGATATGTAGAGTGAATCAGAAAGAAATATAATTTGAAGCAGAGTATAACACTACCATAATGTAATCTTTAAATCAATTCTTTTATCCCTGTTTTAAAAAAGAGGAAAAATAATTTCTAGCGCATTTTATTTTACTATAACTTCAACATGCTAAAGAAATTTCTAATACAAGATTACATGCAACTAAGATAAAATATTTCTTATCTGTCCAATGGATCTCCACAGTTATTCTGTGGGCAATGGATACTACTTACACTGAGCTACTTAATAATATACTCTAACTTTCTCCTACACTTTACAACAACCAAACAAATGAATGAAAGCTATTGATAAAATTAAGGAAGAAGAAAATATCCTCAACAAGTTTTGTGCTGAAGTTGATGTCACAATGACTGCTGTGGAATTCATTGGTTATATAATATATATATTTATTTGACTCTCCCACTAAATTCAATGTATGAGGGCCAAGCAGATCAGTTCCTAGGAACTGGCAGCCTGACACCACCACATGAATTTGATTATAGTGGTGAAAGTTTTGTGCAGAACTGATATGTCCCAGAAAGGGATATATTTGTTCGAAGTAGTAAAGTGGTTGTTGTCTACTGTAAACCAGGTAGGACAATCTAGCAGGTAACCATAATGGACTGGTCCTCGTTGTAGTGGTAGGTAATAGGCGAAAACAATAGGTGTAGTCAATAGGTGTCCTCCTGTATCTCCACATTAATCTGTATTTATGGCTGACACCAGCCAATCATATTACTGTGAGGAGGAACCCAAGGTGTATACATATTCATTACATCAAGAACCATCCACACTTTTTGAAGAGTCGAATATAGAGACCTGGTGCACTACATGCCACAAGGTCCCCCAAACGACCCTCTGCAGGTTTTGAATACAGAGTTGTCCTTCTCCTAGAGCAGTTACCATCCAAGGCTATAGAACCCAGTCTGTCCTAGTATTTACCTATATATATATATATATATATATATATATATATACTAGCAGCATGGCCTGGCGTTGCCCGTGCTTGATTCAAAAATTGTACAACTCATACAGCAATCCTTATCACTTGACTTAAAATATTAAAAAAGTGCTGATGCTGCTACATGCCTTACTTCTTGCCTATCTCACACTGAGAATTTTTCTAAGCTCTATACTAAACATTAAATCTGTTATGAAAAAAAGAACTAAACAAAATGAACACAAAATGATCAGCTTTAAAAAGGACTCAGAACTGGAAAAACCGAATGAAAAAAAGAATGTTAACAGCAAATACTTTTTCACACCCAACCCAGTTCTGCGGAATCAGAATCAACGTTGAGTTTAAGCAAGCGAATGATCAAATTGGAGTAAAGTGCCATGCAGATTTAAATTTTTCCCACTTGTGATGAATGCAGCTATCAATTTTTTTTTTGCATGCTAGCATTCTAGTTAACATTCATGTCAGTCAGCTGTTGGCTCTTATGCTGGCCAATAGAATCTTCCTGCCCGTTTGTGGCAGCCAGCTATAGGCTCTCACCAGTACAAAATGGCCGCAAACTACATGAAAACTGCTGTAGAAGCATGAAAAAAATCGATTATTTCCACTATTGATGGGAGTTGGGAAATGCAAAGTTGGTCTTGGCCTTCCCGCTAACTTGGAGCATGTGCATGTAAATTTTGGTGCAACTCTGTCAAATTTGCGGCTGTGCATTCGTTACGCACACGCACATCCTGCCTTTTATATATATATATATATATATATATATATTCATTATGCTATATATTATTTTGTAAATACTATTGAAAATTCTTTATTTGTATTGAAAATCTGTACTGATTGAATATCTCTTTTGAAATCAAATATTAAACTTAAAAATCATGTATGTCCCATTTCTGTTACCTGTTCATTTGAAATAATCAAACGGACTAATTGAATTGTTTCCTTCTAATAAACTACACCCATTATTCCATTAAAGGAGCCCAGATCATAGTTTTTCATGAGCAAGACCTGACTTACCAAATCGTAATTGAATCGTTCATAATAGTAGTTCTTGTATTCATCCATCCACACTTCAGCAAGTCGGACTGAATTCTTTTTAACTACATTGACTCCTGTACGCCATTTGTATGGGCTTCTTTTACGGAAAATGTGTCCCACATGAGAACAGGGAATGATCTCCAGTGTCCCACCACACATCCAGATCTGTACAAAAGAAAATTGTAGAAAAAATTATACTTAAATAAATTTTTTTAATTTAAATTTAGAATGCAAAAAGCATTACTTTATGTAGTTTCAAAGTTCAGAGACTTTTACTGTTTGTGTTATAGAGGTTGTGATTTTAATTTCTTTGGAAAAACTACAATGTAAAAAAACATATCTAATTCAATGTAAACAATCTTTAAAAATTTTAATTCCTTTTACACAAGAATCGAGCATAGAGAGATGATCATGTTATTTTTTTTATTAAGATTGATACATTATTAGATAATGTTTAAGAATTAAAAGTTTAATGCAGTTATAAGAGAATATTTGAAACTTTTTATTCAATTCAATAATTTATATGCATATTGTATAACATATAATTTATATGTATTTAAAACAACAAAAATCAAAACATGGCCTAGAGCTGAGTAATTAGAACATCAGTGTTTCAACCATGAAACTTGAATTTGAATCTCACCATTGTCAGTTAGTCAAGGAGTTTACATCTTGATAATGTTGACCTGGGGAGATGATCCAAGCATGCGTTACCATTGGGAAGTGCTTGAAAACCATACCACAGATAGGCCCAAGCCTTGTGAATTAAACTGTATATGAAAATGTTGATGGTTGTACTAGTACAAAGTTACAAGTCTTCAACTAACCAAAAATAGAAACTGCAAAGCTCGAGTTGTGGCTTTACATATCTCAAAGGCATTTGACAATGTTTGGCTTGCTTGTCTTCTTCATAAGTCCAAGGGTCATGGTGTCTTTGGACAAATTTTTGATTTGATCCAATATTTATTAAATCATGTAATGAAAGTTGTATTAAGGAGCAATGCTTTTAGATCTTATCACACTAATACAAATGACCATCCCCCGGGCTGTATCCTTGGACCTACTTTGTTTCTTATTAACATCAATGACTTTCCTAACTTAGTATTTATGTTGATGAGTCAACTATCTACTTCTGCCTTAATAGTAAGTTTTATAAAGTAAAACTGACAGCTGATCACAAAAATGGCCTCCAATCAGTTTTTAACTGGAGCAAGAAATGTCTTGCAAATCTTAATGCTTCCAAAACAAAACTGCTGAACAAAAATGGTTCTCTAGAACCATTTTTCTTCTTCCATCAGCATGACTGATGCTAACCTCCAGGAAAGCAACATTGAATCTTCTAGGTCTCATGTTTACTGCTGATATGAAGAGGAATGAGTATATTGAATTAATTGCTATGTCTGCTGCTAGGAAAGTTGGTCCACTGTGTCTTAACCAGACAATTCTTCTCACCAGAATCCATCTTGCATGTTTATAAATCTACCATATGTTCATGTTTTGAATATTGCTGCCATATCTAATTTGGTGCTCCTGCTATATATCTTGAAATTCTTGAGAAAATCCAAAGAAGGATCTGTAATGTTACTGGTTCTGACCTGATATCTCAACTTCTCAAACTTTACTAGTGCTGTAATGTGGTTTCCTTTTGTCTTTTCTATAAATATTTTCATGCCAAGTGTTCTGATGAACTTTCTTCTTTGGTACCTTAACTTAATGAATTTAAGTGTAATACTAGGTTTCATTACTTTACTGTTGAAATAGCTAGATGCAACAATAAGTTCTATTCTGATAGTTTCTTTCTTGTCTCACCTGTGGAATTTTATTCAGGCTTCTTGCTTTCTTGTCACCTATGATATTCAAAAATGTAAATACAGCACCAATCACAATCATCTGTCTTCTTGAATCCTGTTCTTTTAGTTCCCTGTCTCCTTACTAATTTTTTTTCCTTATTTTTTTGATTCTCAGTAACCCCTTGAACCATTGCCTTGCTTGGCATGAAATGCTTATGAAAAAATACTCATTAGTCTTAGTTGGTAATCTACCTAAAGATGGTTTCTTGATAAAAAAAAAACAACAACAAAAAACACTCATCTCCAAGCAGCCAAGCCATTCATGGGGATATATTGGCCTTTAAAATGGACAATAACATAAGTTAAAAAAGAAATGACAAGGGATTTCACAAATTACTACAGGTGAAAATAACATGACATGATGATTTAAAAAATAACAGTAAATTATTTAAGATTTAAAATAAGCTTCATTTTAATAATGTACAGGAGGCAATTACAAATTTTCTTTCACACCATGCAATGAGTACTAAGTAATAGTAATATTAACTGTTTCCTTATATGGAAACATTCAGCATTCATCGACTGAGCAGACAGTGCTATTGTTGGTTAAAATTTATAACATTTTTCTGTTAAAACAATTTTTCAGGAAAATGGGTTTCTCAAGTCCAGTAGCTGTAATGGCTCTTTCCAGTATTGATGGGGATTTCCTTCCTAGCCTTCTGTTTGAAGTAGCATGGAATGTCAGCATCTTACATCATTATTTTCTGTTTGAGTTACTAGTGATCTCCATTTTAGTTGTTACTGTTGCTGAAAGTCCTCAAGTGATGTGTTTTTTTTTATTTTATTTGGTACTGTTCTTTGTTTGTGTTTCTGTAGTACCAGTCCACAAGGTTCAAAGAAGAATGGTCATCACTAAGACCACCAGGTTTTATTTGTTGAAGTTTGTCCTCCTTAAAACCCCCAGGAATGAGAGAGAGATATTGAGTTTCCATTAGGTAACAAAAGTTTTAAGCAATATATCTTACCCTGAAGGAAAGTTCTAGATTTTCTCCTCCCCAGATATCCATGCCAGCATCATAGGTGCCCAGCTCTGTGAAATATTGCCGGTTAATGGCAAACAAGCCACCTGCCATTGTGGGAGACCTGATGGCAGAGAAAAGTGGGTCATTGCTGAGACCAAACGATAGCAAGAAGAGTAGCAAAAATATTCCTGCAAACTTAGAAATTCTAAGACAGAGAAATGAATGCAATGTATTAATTAATACACAAAATTAGTGAGACCTCTAACAAGACAAGTTTTAAAAAAATTATCTACATGTATTGAGTAAAAAGCTTTCGTGCATCTTATAAAGAAATTAATTTCTCTATTCATTTAAAGATAAAACTGTACATTTGTACATTATATTATGATATCAGAAAAAGATGCAGTTTTCTGAATTCAACTATCAATTGATTAATTTTCATCAAGTAGCTAAAATTATAACAATTATAGGCCTAAATTAACCATTCCAGTAAAAAATGCAAACTAACAACAATAGTGTTAATTTTTACAAACATATAAGTCATTATTATCTAGACTAGATTAGTACAAACAGTTTAAAATTAAAATCATACACACAATCAAACTTTGTAAATTAGATAAATGTGAAAAATGTTATAAGGTCTCTTTCAGTAAAAAAGCCAATAAGAAAATGTCCAAAGAAATATCATATATTGTTTGAGAAGAGGAGGAGATTCTTGTAATGGGTAAAAATAATATTGGATGATCAATATAAATAAACTGTAAGGTATGACTTTATGATTCAAAAAGTGATATCATAATTTCTTATAAATCTTTGCTAAGCATAACATAATTATCATATAGTCTCTAATATGATAACAACAACTAAAGAAAAATAATTTCAATACAAAGCCTTAATTAAAATTAGTTTAAACTTAGAAAAAATTAACCCAATAATGCCCACTATCCCATTTTTTGGACAGTGGTCATTTATACATTATAGGTAGAAACCTATAATTAATAGCAAATTTTTATAAACCTATAATTAATATCAAATAATTTTTAAAAAGCCTATAATCATTAATGGATTTAAAATAAATTAAATTTTTATAATCAACACCAGATTTTACAGTAGGTATGTGTTAACATAATAAAAGTACACTATTCATGAGATCTTCCAAGATGAAATCACCTTAATTATAGGTTTCAATCCCAGTATGAGTCTTTGATTATTGGTATTTGCTTACAAATTTTCTACATATATGGGTAACTCACAAAATTAAGTTGAAATTTACAATCAGTACATTTTACTATTTTCTTTTAGTTACTCCTTCATATTTATTATTCTAATAGCCCATTTGAAAATCTAATAACATTTGATATCAAATTTCACATTAATTTTATATGATATCAAATATTTGGCAGCAGGCATTGTCATTTTAATCAAATACTTATATGCATGTTGGATTTTTAGATCCTGAATAGAAATTAGTTGTGGCTAAGATATTTTGTATTTGGCCTTGCTGATCGCACAGAACTGCTGTTTCTTATGTCACCATAAATTTAGAAATTTACAACATTGTAATTCCTACTACTTAATTTTCATACTATTATTTTAATGGTATTTCAATGACTTTCAAAAAGTATAGATTTAAGTAAAGAACACACCTCTGAGCATTTATATAACTATTTTTCATTCCCCTGTGTTTTTTAGAATGGTGTAAAGTCATATGCATAATACTAAATGAAAGTTCAAATGATTTATTCTCATAAAAATTGGTAAATATATTTCAAGATGCAGAAAAAATAAAATCTTGTAACATTAAAATTCTTCATATTACACTAGCTTAAGTAAGACTGATAAAAGAAGGATAAAAACAGAACAATGTACATGTTCACTTCTAAAAATACATTCTATGATTCTATTGTCTTACAGGATACTGATTGCATTCTTTAAAGATTTCCTTGCTAACAGAAATTTTGGAAAGGTTATTTTACAGTCAATTGTATATACTTATCCCAATTTTTTTAATATTTTGAGTTTTTTGTTCCCCATTATGTACCTTTTTTAGAGGAAGTTATTTTGAAGTTATATTTACTCAGCCTGTTAATTTAAAAAAAAAAATAGGGCACAATTGTCATCTTCAAAACTTATATGAAAAGAATTTTGAATCAGGAAGAAACAAAGATCATAGAATCAATGATTCCTACGAATAAAATAAAACTATTTTAAATTAAATTTCTAATTTGATCTTTTAAAATTTTTGTACACGTGTGTAAATTAAAAGACTAATTTGATAATTGAACAACAAAGAAATATTAAAAGTAAAAACAAAAGTCTTCATTGGAAACAATAAAAATGACCATTACATTTTAAAATATTAAACCATTTCTCATCTTTATTCTTTCTTCCCCTCTTCATTAATCTTTCTTTCTTCCCCCCTTCTATATTAATGTTTTTCTTCCCCACTTTAATATTTTTCTCTCTTCCCCCCTCTATATTAATCTTTCTTTCTCCCTCTTTATTAATATTTTTCTTTCCTTCTCTATTAATTTTTCTTTCTTTCTCCCTCTTCATTAATATTTCTTTCTTTCCTCTTCTTTATTAATATTTTTCTTTTGCCTCTTTATTAAAATCTCTTTCCCCCTCTTTATTAATATTTACCTTTCCTTCTATTAATAGTGATATCATAATTAGAATTCTTAACACAAATTATAATTAAGAAATGTGTTAATTATATTTCTTATAATTACCATCATGTAATAATATTTAATGTGTATAAAAATAAAAAAAGTCTAAAATGAGAAGAGATATAAATAAACATTGCTAAATAATAATTTAAATTAGGAGCTCTCAGGGTTGAAAGAAAAATAAAAACAAAATATTTTTCTGAGATGACATGCTGTGACAAAAGTAAGCATAGAAAAGATGCAATGAAACATACAATTAGGATTATTTTTGAACCTAACTCTTGAAAAGAACACAATAGAAGCCTATATCTGTAGTATATGAATTAATATTTGAGGAAATTTTTATTTAAAAAACAAAAACAAGCTAAACATTGAAAGAAATGATTGTATTTCAGAATGTCATAAAATTATTACATGTTATTGTATGCTGATATAAATGTGAAAATAAAATTCTCTTGTAAAATAAATGTACATTTTCAAATTTGTTGATAAATATAAGTTGCTAACATTTTTTAATGGGCAACAACTCAGGCAAACAACCATAAAAAGAAAAACATTAGATTATTATAAAGCATATTATATTGAGAGAGGTTTTCTAAGTATGTGAGCAGTGTTCATGAGCACAATCTTTTCTAATTTAGATACTGATGAGTTTTCTGGGACTTAATATAGCTAATGATCTTATATATGCTTGTCAATACATCTGGATCAGTGATTGCAGAACAATTATAATCTGATTTGTACCTCATCTTTCACAAGAGGATTTTTTTAGCCATTAGCAGAGCACATTCAGATTACCATTTGAAAGTGATTGAGACCCTGTATATTAAATCTAAGTAACTTTGCTTTTGTGAGCAGAAGGAATGGTTGTTTGGTGTTAATGTAATCTGTGACCCATAGTGCTGACTCTTGGGGAAAATAAATTAACTTCCTATTAAAAAGAGAGCTTCTTTTGACTTTATTTATTTTTTGGGGAGGTGGTGAGTGGGGTGCAGTAACAAACTGACAAACTTTCAAAATACAAGGACCTGAAAATAGAAATTGCAAAATGAAGCATTTATGTACAACCATATTATTTTGGTAATAATAGGCGCACTATAAATGATTAAAAAGAATGTACACACTAAATCCCAGAAAACACATTAGTAACTAAATTACAACAATTTGAATAAATTTTCTTAATAATTTTTTTAATATGAAATTTAACAGTAGATTTCTTTATGAATGTTTGCCTGTATTACTGATTATAAACTTATGTAAGAGATTAAACAGCAATGTCAATAAAATAAATGCTTTTTATCATTCATCAAAATAAAAACTTGGATCAAAAGAGAAACAATTTTGATACATCTTTAGTATAAAAATTATGTATCAATTTTAGAAAATGTAAAACATATTTCAAGTAATGTTGTGTCTTAATTTTAATATTAAGATCAATTTTCACAAGTGTCGTCTGATATGAATTCCATTAATAGAAAGTTAATTATTTTATATATAAATATAAAAACATGACTAAATTATTATACAGATATAAAAGAAATTACCACACACATACAAAAGAGAAATTACCCAAATAAAGAATAAAAGAAATTATCCCAAAGAAAAATTTTATAAACCAAAGGTAGGATAGAAAAATAAAGAAAGAAATATTGAGAGAGAGGGAAAGAAAGATATTAATAGAGAGAGGGAGAGAAAGAAAGAAATTAATAGAGGAGGGAAAGAAATATTTAGAAAGAGTGAAGAAAAGGAAATATTAATAGAGGGAGGGAAAGAAATATTTAGAGAGAGTTAAAAAAGGAAATATTAATAGAGGGAGGGAAAGAAATATTTAGAGAGAGTTAAAAAAGGAAATATTAATAGAGAGAGAGGAAAAAAGTGAAATGAATAAATAGAGGGAATGACAGAAATATTAAAAGAGAGAGGGGAAAAAAGAAATATTGAAGGGAAGGAAAGAAAGAAATGTTAATAGAGAGAGGGAAAGAAATAAATACTAATAGAGAGAGGGAATGAAAGTCATATCAATAAAGAGAAGAGAGGGAGAATCATCAATGAGAACAAAGTAATGATCTTTTATTTTGATATTTGTTATTAAAATCAACACATCTCAGCCAAAGTATATTGGTTCTGTGCTAAGGCATTCTTTTATTATTCCATATATTTTTATATACAGAGTATATTTAAAAAAAATGAAAATATTTAAAATTACAAGAAATAATGGAAATCCTTAAGCTGAAACAATGAAACCTTCTTTTATTTGTCACTGTCTTTGCCTACTATTGACAGGACGTAAGTTGTTGCATTCCAGTCAGTAGCACAAAATGTTTTCAAGTGACTGACACATTCAGTAAACATAAAAAAAAGGTTAAAATGTAAAAGATTGTTCTACTAAAGAAAGAATCTCAAGTAAAAGAAAACAGAATAAAAATAAAATAAATACAAACTGCTAAATATT